TACAAACTAAATACAAGTTAAATCAGCACCCAAATCAAGTGGCAAAACATTACTAACATCCCCAGAAACCCTCGTGCTGTTTCCATCACTGCTACTCCAGCACTACAGGTCACCCTACCACTCCCCTAGCTTCCAACTGCGTAGAAAAGTCCTCAGTCTTGTATTTTATAGAAATTAGATCATTCAAAATGTCCACTGTATACCTGGCATTTTTTTGCACAAAATCTTGCTTTTGAGATTGACCTGTGTTGTTGTGCATAGTCACAGGATGTCATACAGGGTTGGTTTAGGCTTTTATTTCTGCAGAAAAGCATCAGTCCAGTGTTGAGAAACAGGTGATTGTAGAGCCTATTGCCACATCCAGGGAAATGTGACTTGCACCCACCTCTAATGCAACTGTCCACCTGGCATAAGGTCTGAAGTTTCCACCTGTTTTCACTTACAGCAGTATCTGCTAAAGTGAGTGGATTCCTATCCAAACACCCTCACAGACATTAAGGGTGAATTTGACATGGTGAAGTGCACTTCAGACAACCAGGTTAAATAAAGTCAAAAATTCTCATTATTTCATTCTTTGGGTAAGCTTAAAGTTTTATTTTTTAAAAAACAGATTCATGCTGGGTACCAGTGGCTCACACCTGTAACCCTAGCTGCTCAGGAGGCAGAGATTAGGCCAGTCTGGGCAAATAGTTTGTGAGACCCTATCCCCAAAATACCTAACATAAAAAGGGCTGGTGAAGAGGCTCAAGGTGTAGGCCATGAGTTCAAGCCCCAGTACCACAAAGAAAATAAAAAGGATTCATTTTAATATGCAATTGACAACTTCTCACTTAACCACAGCACCCCTTTTTTAAAAAGTTCCATCAAATATCCAGGCATGGTGGTGCACACCTGTAATCTTAGCATTCAAAAGAATGAGGCAGGAGGATTGCAAGTTCAAGGCCAGCCTGGGCTACAGAGTGAGACCTGATCTCAAAAAAAAAAAAAAAAAATCAAGCACACATCTTTCCTACAAAATAGTTTCATGACTGCTGTCAGATTTCATATTTCACTTGCGAATTACATTTTGAAGACTTCAGTATGCAAACATGCTAGTTGGGAGTAGAAAGACACTTAATTTTGGTTCTGTACTATGAAGACAGTTGAAAGATCAACCTTATAATGATGCCGTAAACTGAGTATCGTGACTTCCCAGTCACAGCAGAGACACAGTTCATAGTTGATGGCTACTGAGAAACTGAAGTCTGACTGACACCACCATTTATAACTGTCATTTCTTACTACTTTTGAGAATTTAAAGTGTTGGGTCATATTTTGCAAACATAGAATTCATTTCAAGTACTAGATGGTTTTTTTTTGGAGGGGAGGGAAGACGGTACTACAGTTTAGACTCAGGGTTTTGCACCTGATAGGCACGTGCTCTGTCACTTGTCACCCCCAGTCCTTAGAATTCATTTCATTCCTAAAGCTGAAACACGCACAGTAGTAACTGGGAAGATTCTGAGACCAGATCATGACGTACTTGCATTATGATGCTCAAGGAAGAATGCCCACGTGCGTAAGTAAGGCAGGATGCATCGGGCCCAAGACACTCCACATAAAGTAGCTACTTCACTGCTCTGCACTTACTTAAATAACTGCTGGATACAATTCACTAGACGGTAGAATTACTACATTTGTCTTCGTAAGGACAAAGTCCAGATTTATTTGTGAGCCCTCCTTATCTAGTTTTATAATCAGTTTAGGTTACTCTTGGGGAATAATATGGTAGGAAAAAATTAGTAATTAAATTTTCTTGTAAAAAATCAGATTGTAAATGTATTTTTTGAAGGGATGTATTTTAATAGTTTTACTTTTTCACTTATGAGTTTACTCAAGTTTACCTTCAGCACAATTTTGTTACTTTTCAAGAAAATAATTCTACTTTTAAATATTATGAAATACTCGTAACAGTGTGTACATAGTTTCATATACATTTTATATACTTAGATACACACAAGGCACAGCAAACACCTAGCATAGAAACATAATTTTAACAATCCACAGCTGTTACTCTTTTCATTCATGTAGCATTAATGGTGTCATCTTTCTATTTGCCATCCTTGATCAAAACTGCCAAGGTCCTGACTGTACTGATATCCTTTTAAAAAAAAGTATCTTTTGGCTAAAAATGTTTTTTTGTTGTTGTTTGTGCCAATACTGACAATAGATGTGAGCCACATAGATATTTTTAAATCTTCCAATAGCCATGTTAAAAAATAAAAACTAGTAAGGCTGACTTGAATGTATTTTAAATACGTGCCATGGTGGTACACCTGTTAATCCCAGCTACTCCAAAGATGGAGGCAGGAGGATCACAAGTTCGAGGCCAGTAAGGCAAAGTTAGCAAGACTCTATCCCAAAACAAAATTCAAAGTAAAGGGCTGGGGACATAGCTCAAGTGGTAAAGCACGTGCTTGGCATGTGAGAGGCTCTGCAATCAATCTGCAGTACTCCCAAAATTAAAAGAAAAAAAAATCATGTACTGAGCCATTTATCTAACATATCATCTCAATCTGTACTCAAGAGAAAATGTGAGATACTTAACGTTCTTTTTTTTTTTTTTTTTTTTAGAAGTAAGGCTTCAAAACCTTGCCCCTGCTTGACAAGACATTTACCCCTGTTTTAATTTAGACTGGCAACTTCTCAAGGGAACAGTGTATCCATTTCAAGCTCTCAACACATTTCTAAGGAGGCCATGCTGGACAGTGCAGGTCTAGTCCATTGATTTCCACAGCTGGTTATGGTCATTTCTTTCTTTCACTCAATTTTTTGGTGGCACTGGGCTTTGAACTCAAGGCCTGATGCTTGCTAAGCAGGTACTCTACCACTTGAGCCACTCCACCAGCCCTCTTTTACTCATTCTGCAAACGTATAAAATATCTACTATGGATCAGGTACTGTATTGGACACAGAAAAAGGAGGTGAACTAGAAAAGAGTAGACCCTCAATCTTACCTTTCTGAATGTATCATAATGTACTTAAGCTCCCCAAGGTACAGAGTTGTGGCAATATCCACAAATTTTAGTATGTAGGATTTTTTTTTTTTTGGTGGCACTGACTGAAGTTTGAACTTAGGGCCTCATGCTTGCTGGGCAGGTGCTCTACCACTTGAGCCACTCCATCAGCCCTGTTTTATGTTGGGTTTTTTCTAGCTAGGGTCTCTTGAACTATTTTCCTGGGCTGACTTCGAACCACAATCCTCCTGATCTCTGCCTCCTGAGTAGCTAGGATTACAGGCATGAGCCACCAGTCCCAGCTAGTATGTAGGATTTTTATTTATTTTTTTAGTACTGGGTTTTGAACTCAGGACCTTGCCCTTGTTAGGCAGGTGCTTCTATCACTTGAGCCACACTCCAGCTCTTTTTGCTGTTAAGTTTTTTTTTCAGATATGGTCTCATGTTTTTGCCCAGTTCAGGCTTGGACCATGATCCTCCTACCCACCAGTTTCACATAGCTTGGATGATAGGCACATACCACCACACCTGGCATACAGTTGAGATGGGTCTTGCTAACTTTTTCCATGGGTTGGCCTCAAACCACAATTCTCTCAATCTCTTCCTCCCAAGTAGCTTGGATTATGGGCATGAACCACACCAGGATGTATGTAGGCTTTAAAAAAAAAATCACTCTTTTAGAACTGGTTATAATTTCAGTTAATTTGGCTTTAGATAAAATATGGAAAAGTTTAAATAAATAAAAATGAAAATCACAAAAATAAATCAAAACCATGTACCCAAGACTCAGTTTATCATTTTGCCAAACTTATCAACCCTCAGTTTTCTTTTGCATGAGTATTTTAAAAGACACTCCACACATCCTATTATCTGGTGTGTATACATTTTAGAATTTATCTCTAACAGACATTTTTTATATACCACAATGCTATTATCCACACCTAACAAAACAGTTTCTTAGAATTATGCAATATTATCAATATTCTCCTTTTCCCAATTGTACAAATGTCGTTTTACAATGTTGGGTCATCTCATGATCTAAATAAGATCCACTTCCTTCACTGCATTTGACTGATACATCCCTTAAGTCTCTTTTAATACCCTAAGGGTTCCAGCACCCTTTCTTCAATGCTATTTCATTGGTCACATTCGTCCTATACAATTATCCCATTTCATATTTAGTTGCTTCTTGTTGGGTTATGCCATCTGTTCTTCCACTCCCTAATCGTCTCTAAATTGGGAGTTCAATCTTCAGGTTTAAAACGACTTTCAGTATTTTTGAAACGATGTGTGTATTTTATTGCATTACATTATGAGGCTCATAATGATTTACTATCCCACTTTTTTTTTTTTTGAGGTCCTGGGGTTTGAACTCAGGGCCTACAACTTGAGCCACTCCACCAGCCCTTTTTTGTGATTTTTTTTTTTTTGAGACAGGGTCTCACACACTAGTTGCTGGGGCTGGTTTCGAGCCACGATCCTCCTGATCTCTGCCTTCTGTGTAGCTAGGATTACAGGCGTGAGCCACTGGCACCCTGGCTACTACCTTACTTTTGCGAGGTTAAGACTGATCAGTGGGTCATGCGTTGTCAGCTGAATCTGGTCACTATAAAGTTCGAGTCAATCTATCACTTAAAGGTCTTAACCTCTAGGGAGAAATGCCCTAAGCTTACTATCACATTGTTGCAAAACAAATTTCTATAGAATGTCATAATTCTATGATTCTTTCTACAGCCATTAGCTGGAATTCTCTCATAAAGAAAAACTTTACCTCAACAACTTCTGGTTGCCCTGAAATATATTTTATACAGGAAATGTTGGCTAAATGACTTTTCTTTCCTTTAGCAATTTTCAAAATGAACTGGTACCCTGGCAGCCTCGATATGTATACTACACAGATACACGAATAAGGACAATCAAAGATAAGATTAAAACTTTTACACATTTACTTCTTCAAGAAAGTTCCCTTCTAGAATGACCTTCTTAAAGTTAACATGAATGATGACCAAAGGCTTCTTTATATTCATTCAATTAACGTACTCTTTTCTTTAAATGAAACCTCTTATGCTAAGTCAGCTGTGAGCATCAAGCAAAAGGGATTCCTACATTTAAGATTTCTCCTCCAGAATTTATTTTCTACTGCTCCTTAACACAACGTTTGCAATAGAAGCTTCTTACAATTGTTAAGTGACGTTATGAATTCGTTGATGGTAAGTAAGGTGTGAATGCTGTCTGAAGGCCTTCTTACATTCCTTACATTTGTAGGGTTTCTCACCAGAATGAATTCTCTGATGCTGAATAAGTGATGAGTGAAGTCTGAAGGCCTTGCCACACTCCTTACAGTCATAGGGTTTCTCCCCAGTATGAATGCTCTGATGTTGAGTGAGTTGTGAGAGCAGTCTGAAAGTTTTCCCACATTCCTTACATTTATAGGGTTTCTCACCAAAATGAATACTCTGATGTTGAGTAAGTTGTGAGAACAGCCTAAAGGCCTTCCCGCACTCCTTGCAATCATACGGTTTCTCTCCAATATGAATACCTTGATGTGAAATGAGCTCTGAGTAACGACGGAAGAACTTCTGACACTCCTTGCATTCATAAGGTTTCTCACCAGTATGAATTCTCTGGTGGAGAGTTAGATGATAGCCACGACTGAAGGTCTTCCCGCACTCCTTACAGTCATAGGGCTTCTCCCCAGTGTGGATCCTCTCATGGAGAGTGAGTTGCTGCCGCACCCGAAAAGCTTTTCCGCACTCCTTACAGTCATAGGGTTTTTCACCAGTGTGAAGTTTGTGATGCAGTCGAAGACCTGTACTACACAGGAAAGCTTGACCGCACTCCTTACAGTCATAGCACTTCGCGGCAATGTTGAGTCTCTGATGCCGAGTGAGGTGTGCGTACTGTCTAAAGGCCTTCCCACACTCCTTACACACATAGGGCTTCTCACCAGTATGAATCCTCTGATGGAGAGTAAGCTGTCCTCGCACTCTGAACGCCTTCCCACACTCCTTACATTCATAGGGCTTCTCACCAACGTGGATTCTCTGATGTACTCGGAGGTCTGAGCTACATGTGAAGATGTTTCCACACTTTTTACATTCATAGAGTTTGTCGGATGTATGAATTCTCTGATGTCGGCTAAGGTGGGCACACTGTCTGAAGGTTTTTCCACATTCTTTACACTCATAGGGCTTCTCGCCAGTATGGATTCTGTGATGGAAAGTAAGCTGTTGGCGCACCCTAAAAGCCTTCCCACATTCCTCACATTCATAGGGCTTTTCTCTATTATGACTTTTTTGATATAGACTAAGAGATGAGAGTTTTCTGTAAGTGGATGGTTTTTCAGGGGTGGTTTTTCTCACTTGCCTGAAACATATCTTGTAAGGACCCTGTTGTCTTTCAAACATTTTATATTCACTGTCTTTTCCAAAAACAGAGTCTTCAAGGCCACAACTTTTAATTCTTTCCATTATTTCCCACTGAGATAAATTCATTTCATAAATACCCTTTTCCTGAAATAACATTTTTGTGCCATATCTGGATTCCAAATCTGAAAGAAAACAAGATAAACAGGTAATTATTTTCCTATTCTAAAGAAAAATAAAAATTTTATAATAGAAAAAAACAAAACAAAAACACAAAATAAAGCACAGTAAATGGGTAAAGCTCTCAAAAATAATATACTTAAGAAAAAACTAAGAGAAATAAGGAAAATGACAAGCTAAGATCAGATTATTTGCATGGAGATCAAAATGAGAATCCCCACTTAACCCTCTTAATGAGTTGTCTTTTCAATCAGAATGACAGCAAACACTCTGCCATGCATGACATGGACCTCTGCTCACCATGTATCAACTCCAGCCTCTACCTTGCTTTTATGTACCTATCACACTTGGCTCCCTTCAATTCCTACAATATGTCACAGTCTTCATTTCTTAAGGGTTTGCACGGGTTACTTAATCTCCCAAGAATCCTGATGTGGGTTCACATGGTTATATTCCTTTTGGTGACCATGTATCATCTTTTAAAAAATAAAATAATCCCTGCTGACACATCTAATTTATGTCCTTTATTTTTCTATCCTTAACACTTTTCTCAATTTTGTTATTAGTCATGAATTTCCCTATTATCCTGTTGACTTTCTTAACTTAAACTTTCCCCAAAGCAGAAGCAAATTTTCATTCACCACTGAATAACAAACCAATAGTATAAGGCAGGTGCCAGTGACTTACACCTATAATTATAGCTCCTTAGGAGACCTCAGCCTCTTCAGGAGGATTGGGGTGCTAGGCCAGTCTGGGCAAATAGTTCATGAGACCCCATCTCCAAAATAGCCAGAGCAAAAAAATGGACTGGAGGTATGGCTCAAGTGGTAGAGCACCTGCTTTGCAAGCCCAAAGCCCTGAATTCAAACCCCAGTCCCAATAAAAAAAAATTCATCCAAAGTCAAAGTGCAACTGGTTGACATTTTTCTTTACACCTCTTTTCATCTATAGGGATCCTTCCATCTTTTGATAGCTCCTGTTATTTGCTGAAGAAACTATTTTTGGTTCTGTAGCTTCCCACATGTTCTGAATTTTGCTGGCTACATTTCCAAAGGATAGACCATGCTCCTCTATCCTCTTCCCATGAACTCACAGTTGGCTTTAGAAGCTTCATCAAATTCAGGACCAATTTTGTTAGCAAAATTTATTTTTACTGTGTTCTATCAGGAGAAACACAATGATTGTCTCTACTGTGAAACTACTAGCATTGATATCTAACACTGAGATCAAATAGTTCATTATGGATAAACTGGAAATATTCTATCATTCTTCCATTTATTCACTGAATATTTTAATTAAGAGAAATATACTTCCATCTACTACCTACTAGTATAGTTCTTGTAAGAAAGACAGTGCTTTCCTTCCTTTAAATTTATGTTTTTCAAATAAATTACTTCTCTGGTGGATCCAATGGTAAATTTGCTGTTAGTATCATTAAGCACTTATGGAAGGGGTCGGGGGTGTAACTCAGTGGCAGAGCAGTTGCTTAGCATGTGTGAGAGGTCCTAGATTGCATCTCCAGTGCCACCAATATATGTATGTGTGTGTATGTATAATTACATATATTTTATGTGTTGAAATGCATTGAAGTTATTCAGTGTAGGGATGCTCAAATGGTCCCATCTTAGGCCTCTTCAAATTGGCTCCTCTTCCCTGACCTATCTGAAATCACCCATTCACTCATTCTGATTCTCCCTACTATTAACTTACTCACTTTTCTTCATAATACTTAACCATTTCAAGGTGTTAGTAAGCCATTTATTTGTTTTATCTTCTTTTGTGGTACTAAGGACCAAATCCATGACCTCACAAGTGCTAAGCAGATACTTCACTACTGAGCTACACCTCTAGCCTAAGCTGTTTACTTGTTTGCTGAATGACTCTCCTACTACAATGTAAACTCCATGGAATGTGGACAAGGAAGAAATTTGAAGGCTGAAACATAAAAGAAGAGCTATAAAATACTTGGATCTAAAATTACAGGTAAAATGATTATTGCTAGGAAAGAAAGCCTGAAATGGGAGAGAAAAATGAGAGAAAAGAAACAAGTGGTAAGTTGAAGTACAAATGAAATTTCTTTGGTGACTGAGCTCTCGAGCTTTCTTCTCAAGTCTCAGGTCTCTTCACCATCAACATACGAAAAATGTTATCTTTCGGTTTGCAGCTTTGTGTCAAGCCATTTGTCTCTATCTGATTAACACTTACTCACCTAGGCTCCACCTTCTTTTCTCATTCCTTACAATCATCCAGGGCTCTTTTCCTTGTTCTAAAAGGGTAATCACATCTGGCTTAGAAATGGAACAACCTGTTTGAAAGAGAAGAACATATTAAAGAAACAATATTTCATTAAGGCTTCAGGACAAAGAAGGCTATCAGGATTAAAAGCATTCAAATTAGAATTACCTCAGGATCATGAGGAAAAACAAGACCCAAGAAGTAGGGACATGGTCTTATTTTAATTTAAATTCATATAGGCCTTGGCTTTTTAGAAGAAAAAATAGTTAAGAAAACCAGTTTCAAATCCTGCCTTGTGTCATCAGTCACTAGGGAAAATAGTTTAATCTCTCTGTGCCTCAGTTTTCTCAGTCATAAAAAAGGGGGATACATAGGAACAAGTTTGATTTAATCTAAGTGTTAAGATGAGTATTTAGTGAATATGGTAAGCATTATATTTATTAGACACTATTTTTTGCTATTACAAAAATGTTTATTGCCAGGATATTCATCTAATATTAATGTAGAGCTCATAACTGTAATTCTAGCTACTTGGATCTCAGTTTGAGGCCAGCCTACACAAAAAATTATTGAGATCCCAGCTCAACCAATAAGCTGGGTATTTTGAGACATACCTAACCTAGTTATACAGGAGACATAACTAGGACTGTGGTCCAGGCCAGCAGAAGGAAAAATGTGAGACCTTATCAGAAAATAACAAAGCAAAAAGGGCTGGGAGCATGGCTCAAGTAGTAGAGCACCTGCCTAGCAAGTGTGAGGCCCTGAGTTCAAAACCCCAGTACTGCCAAAAATAATGATGATGTTAAATTCAAATCTCATGTATTTTAGACTTTTAATCACAAAGCAGTTAATAGGCAATATTTCTGTTTTAGAAAACTGGGTATGTACACTTGGGTTTCAACAAACTGTTGATTCACTCAGTATCACTTCTGCGTATGAGTTCTTTTAATAAGTATGCAGAGCCAGACTCCTCTGTCTTCTGTTCTCATTGCAAGAGAGTCCACAGATAATATGGAACATCTACAGCATTCTGAAACCAACTTCTTTGCTGTGGCTAAGAATTTATATGCAGCTGTGGTTAAAGATAATAACAAACAAAGGAAGACATAAAGGTCTTCAATTTATGAGGGAAGATGAAGGAGCTTAATTGCATCTATTCCCAAACTACAAAGACAGAGTTTTTAGAAATTCCCTGAAATTTCAGTCCTAGGCATCTCTTCATTCTCTGACACAGACAAGCTCACCCAGTGACACCAAGTTGCTGTAGTTCTCTAGTATCACGTCCCTGTACAAGTTCCTCTGGTAAGAATTCAGACACTCCCACTCTTCCTGAGAAAAGTCAACAGTCACATCTCTGAACATCACCAAATCCTGAAATGACAAATTCATGTATTGTTTGTAAGATAAAATATTTTTAGGAAGGAAGAAGGATCTTAGGATATACACTCATTTAACATTTAAAATGAATAGCTGTGTTGGGAGCCTGTGGTGTGGGTAGGAGTATCCACACGTTCTTGGAGAGTTTTTGACATCTGCTGCAGGCTGGCAAATGTTTTCTGTAAGGTGCCAATACTGCAGGCTTTGAATGCCACATATGGTCTCTCTTGCAAATTCTTCTGTTTTTTAGAAAATTCTTTCAAAATGTAATATGCTTGAAGGCTACACAAAAACAGTTGTGATCCCAATTTGGCTTATGGGCCAGATTGATAGTAACTGTAAATTGCCCACAGTGACTAAGGCTGAAACTTTTTATATACTATGTGATACCTAATTTAACTTATTTCCAGACATGTTCAGGTAATTACCAGAATTTCTCTATTAACTGAAATAGGTTCATAAGAACACATCTGGTAAAGGGCCTAAAAACTTCTCAATAAATGTGACTTGCTGTGTCCTCTTTTCCTTTAAGGATTAGAAAAAAAAAAGATGGAATTTTTCCCCAAATGACCTACAAAATCTCTATTTTTAAAAAATAGTTTGCATAAAATTTAAGAATTTCTTCCAGATTTAACTTCATCATTATAGCATTTTTCTTTCTATAACAAATCCTTACTTGAATATTTTAAATTTTCTATACACTAGCCCATTTTTGGATATGTTAAACTTAAATTTAATAATGATTATATTTAGGGATTTCTGTACTTTTAAATATATTAAACTACATTTTGAATGTACATTTTCCAAAGTTCTGAAGCGTCAATGTCAAGCATGCTATATGGGATTAAATAAAACATTAAACTGGCTGGCATGGTGGCATACATCGTAATCCAGTACTTGAAAGGCTAAAGCAGGAGGATTATGAGTTCAAGGCCAGCCTACAATACAAAGAAACTCTGTTTCAGAAAAAAATTTTTTTAATTGTGCCGGTTTCCTTTCACTTTTTTAATGTGACTACTAAAATATTTAAGATTATATATGTACTTTGTATATTATACTAGAAAAATTTAAATTACACATGGAGCACACACTATATAATTCTTTTGGGCACTGCTAGTCTAAGGTGTTCTCTGATCCTCAGAGTCTCAGCTCAAACATCCTCCACCAGGGACTTCATTTCTGTTCCCTGCCTGATCTACAGAGAGACTGAGAGCACAGGAGATGCCGAATGACTTGATCTGAGCACACGAGGACAGATGGAAAAGAGGTACCTGGGATGCCTGGTTTGATCCCTCACCAGAATGGGAAAGACTGGGGAGCAGCTGTTGAACAGGGTTCTGTTACGAAGTTTCAGAATAACAAATAAGAATGTTAACGTAACCTAGAAAAAAAAGAATTTCAAATAGAAAAAAAACAACTTACATGAGCCATGATTTTCAATGGGTAGTCAGGTTTCTTCAAGGTTCATTTACTGGAGAAGCACAGTCCACAGAAGCAGAGGTGGGGGAAGAAAGTGAAGCCATGAGAACAGAACTGCCTTAAAGCTTTCAAATTTGAAAAACAGAATACACCACTTTCTCCACTCCTACATGCAACCCCACTCCGAACAGACAAGTTATGAGGCAAGAGGTTATTTAGACAAATATATGTCCACCCCAAACCACGGGAAAATCAACTGTGCACAAGGAACAGATGCAGACTCTCCTGTATTGAAGCACATGTGAAGGCTTGTCAACAGGAGGGCTTCCAGTTAGTCTCCGTCCTCACCCAAGGAGGTGGATCTGCACCTGAGGATGGGCTGCACAAACCTGTCCTGAGCAGATCCTCCTCTCTCCATTCCACCTTCCCAGCTGAGAAGACGCTATACTCTCTGATCCAAAACTTCCTTCTTGGACTTAGGAATCTGGCTGGGCAACCCAAACAGCACAGACAAGAATTTCCCAAGCTTTGCTGCCAATTATATCCCCTGGAGATCTTAAAATACACCAACACCTGACTCCCACGTCAATGTTCTGACTTAACCAATTAACTTAATTAATATAGGCTATCACTGGGGAATCGGGATTTTAAAGACCTCAGGATTTTATAAAATTACAATGAGAGGTCGGCACCGGTGGCTCAAATCTGTAATCCCAGCTACTTGGGAGAGAGAGATTGGGAGGATCAGATTTAAGGTCAGCCCAGGCAAATAGTTCTGGAGACCCCATCTCCAAAATAACCAGCACAAAATGGACTAGAGGTGTGGCTCAAGTGGGAGAGCATTGCCTTTGCAAGTGTGAAGCCCAAAATTCAAACAAATAAACAAACAAAAAAACAGTGAGCCACAAAGTTTCATAGTCAAACTTTAGTCCATCGGAACCGCCAGGAGAGCTAGTTGAAACAGACTGCCAGGCCCCACTCCTAGAGTTGGCACTTGGGAGGTTGGGGTTGATCTAAAGAATTTACATTTCTGAGAGCTCCCAGCTGATACTGATATGCTGGATCTGGAGATGCCACACTTGGAGAGCCACCTGTACATACAGACTGTCTAGCAGCCTTTATCATGACAAAGCTGCAGCTTTCACCCTTCTCTTTTACCCCTTTTAGCCATTCCTTTTAGAATTTAAACTCTGTACCTTTAAATAACATAATAATATTGCCGCTTCTGAATTTTCAATTTTAATCATCACCTACTCACTTCCTACTACGAGAGCTTTTGCCCACCTACCTCCCAACCCAACACATGTAGTTACAATCCCCTTATCCTTCTCATATGGTTTTATTCTGTTCCAAGATAAATGAACATTTAGATGAATTTTTACCAGTCCCACTGAAAAACCAAAATCACCTAGAACATTATTACTTGAATTTTTTAAATGAGTATTCTGTTTTATTGTAAGTAAACACAATGATTAACTGAGTCATGTTTTGTTTTCGGACTAGTTTGCCTTCCCAAGTTTTCCTTCTCTATTTTTTTTTCCAATACTGGGGTTTGAACTCAGGACATGTGCTTGCTAGGTAGGCACTCTGCCATGTGCATCATGCCCCCAGCCCTTGGACCTGCACTTATGCCTGGACCGGGATGCTCCTATTTTTGCTTAGTATGTAGCTGGTATGACAGATAAGTTCCACCACAGTTGACATGGGGCTCTTGTGAATTTTTTGCCCAGGCTGGCCTCAAACTACCATCCAGATCTCTGCCACTGGAGCAGTTAAGATTACAGGTGTCAGCTACCATGCCTGGCTTTTTTTTTTTTTTTTGGTGGTACTGGGATTTAAACTCAGGGACTCAAGGTTTCGAGGCAAGTGCTCTACCATTTCAGCCTTCCTCCAGACCAAATTTTGTTTTTCATAAGCTTAGTTTTCTAGGAAATAATCATTAGTTCACTTCCCAAACTCCCAGTGAAGAATGACGTTTCCAGTATAAAACAGCAGAGCTGCCTATTTCATATGCTAAGAATCTACAACAATCCTTCAGAATGCAGCCAAAGGCAGGTGTAGTGGTACACACCTGTAATCTCAGTACTTGGGAGATTAAGGAAGGAGGATAGTGAGTTGGAGGCCAAACTGGGCTTCACATAGTGAGTTTTAGGCCACTCTGGGCTACAAAGTGAGACCCTGCTTCTAAATAAATAAGTAAATAAATATTCAGTGCTCTTATGAGTCCTATAAAGGGAGATTCCTATGATCCTCTTATTTTTTTTTAAGTATTGTTGTAGGGGGGACAAGGGGGGAAAAATGACCCAAACATTGTATGCATATATGAATAAAAGAAAAAAAAAGTATTATTGTCCTGGGAGTACACTGTGACACTTACAAAAGTGCTCACAATATATCTTGGTTAAAATTCACCCCCTCCATCATTTTCCTTTATCTCCCCTCCCCCATTCTTAGAAGTTTCAACAGCTCATTTTTCCACATTCATACATAAGTATCTATATTTCCACTACATTCACCCTCCTACACCCTTTCCTTATATCCTCCCCCTTCCCACTGGTGCCAACCCCCAGACAGGACGTGTTTCACTTTCCCATGATTATTATGTACTATAACCCCAATTGGTTCATCCCCATGTTGTTTCACAAACCTTCCAGACATCTACAATTCTTATACAGATTTCAACTTCAATTTAGTTTAATATTAAACTAAGTTAACTGAGAGTTTAATATTAAACTAAGTTAATCTTACAAATCTCATAATTAAAATCTTAAGAAATGTCACATCTGTTGACATCTGTTTCACTTTAATGATTTAAAATCTAAGCACAGTATATATTGTTTTTTAAACAGGTTGTTTTCTTTGTGTATAGCTATTTTCTATTCTTTAGCTCTTTTATAAAAGTTAGCATTTGGTAATTACTTAATATTTCATATTATAGATTTTTGTAAATTATCCAAGAAATTAGGTACTAGGCAGGAATATTCAAAACTCCCAGGCAGTAAAGCAGGCTTTCTGGCTCCTATGCCTTGACTAACTTTTGTCTCCACTGTCACACTGGTTTCAGAGATAGGAACATTTAGTATGTTTTACACAGCATTGAATTTTGCCATGTGGGTTACAGGTATTTGAAATATTTGACTGTGTTTCTTTTCTTTTCCTCTTTTAAACTAAGAACTAAGATTTTTTTTTCAATTTCAATTGGCATGATCCTGTTCTCTATAAATAAAACCATATACATAAAACATATATGTTTGTGCAAGTATTTTGGGAAACTTTGTTCTGAAATATTAATAGTGATTATTTCAGGTGGTTGAGAGCACAGATAATTTTAATTTTCTTCTTTATAGTTTCCTTAGTTACTAAATGTCTCACAAGCTGCCACTAATACCATCAAGAGAAATAGAAGAAAAAAGCTATTCCTATTAAAAAATGTTTTAAAATGAGGAGGATAGGAGAGCATAGCAATTAAGAAAAATGTGACTGAATAGGCCTGCATAAGTGGTGATAACAGGAAAATCAGTGGAACTAGAAAAATTAACCCTATGAGTTCCTGGATCTTGGTTTTTATCAACACTCTGAGACCTTTCTGTGTTCTGTGAAGCATCACAGTCCTGGTTCATAGCATTTCTGAAGTGATTAAGAGACAGGATGCACAGCAGATGAACACAAATGCTTACTTCACAGCAACTGCTCAATAATTTGTACTTACCCCCCCTCGAGCTCCAATGATTAGGCTGTTATTAAATATTTAAGTATAAAATATTGTGGAATATCCTATAATCCTTTATCATAGCATTCGACATTCTATGTAATTTAATTTCTTGAAGATTTTTGTTCACAGCCATAAATACTTCTCAGTATTACATTATATACTTTTCTCCTATGACTAAATATAAACATACTTTTTATTGTGTAACATTCCATGACATGGATGGAGTGTGACTTAGCCATATCCATATTGCTGGATACGAATTTTGTAAAAGTATGTCCCCAAAGTCACTCTCACTTATTCCAGTCTGATTCTAGCCCTGTGAGAATCCATCTTGCTGGGACTTATACACTTTGATCATATGAAATGATAGGACTTCAGCCCCACTCCCCTCCCAAGTTAAAAATTTACAAATATATACAATTCTGAATACAATCTTAAGACATTGGTTGTCCTGAATGCCCACAAACAGAATCCAAAGGCTTCATGTTATGAATCCTGGTTCTGAAACACTCGGCTTATTTTCCTGCTTGCACGCATCCATCACAATTAACTTCACATTTTTATTGTCCTTGAGAATACACAAAGCTGATAGAGGTGGCTAAGCATTATCGTTTAGTAGCGATAGCTATTATTAACTAAAAGAGTATGTGCCACGCATTCGTCTAAGAGTTTTATAAATAGAACTAATGTAATATTCTAAATCGCCCTTAGTGTTACAATTCTGGCTTTACGTATGAGGAAACTGAGGCACAAAATATAGCACAAACTCACACTTAACTGGTCAGGTCTCAAATCCTCTTAATTTGGTCCAGCATTCTTAATCACTATACTGCACCTCTGTCAGTCCATCCACAGATACACCCAAAACCAAATTCATGCTTCCAAACCTCAAACCACATCTAGCTGGTACCAAAAATTTCACCCACGGATTCCCTGGTTTAAAAAAAAAAAAGAAGCAAACATCCCCACTCTTAACACCGGTGTAGTACACCCTACACTACACCTTAACAAATCACAACCAAAGACAAGCATGCACTTTAACCTCCAGTAGACGGGAGTTTGCAAAAACTGCTCAGAGAGCAACCGGACATACAGCAATGGTCAGCTAACTATAGAAGTGCATGAAGTGGACACTAGAAAGAGGAATTTCCTATTCAAGAGAAAGAAATCAAAGAATCCCGCGCCCTGAAAACCAAATGCATTTCCTAGAAACAAAGCAGCAGCACAAACTCTCACGGGAGGAACCTGGCTTCTACAAGAGGAGCGAGAGCGACTCACCTCACTTTCTCTTTCTTGGAGACTTGCGGGGCTGGGGAAACAGAGTGGGCTCGTGACACCCGGGATTTTTCGTGACTGGGTCGGAACCCACCTGCCCGCTTGCCTGCCTGCCCCCCACTTGCAAGCACGGATGCGACTCCAGATGGATGCGCTGTGGCGGGGACACCGGGGGCTTCCCGCACCCTGGGGCCACCGCGAAGTCTGGTTCGGAACTGTCCCAGCACCCCCCGCCCCGAGGCCTGCCCGGAATCTAGATCCCGGCGTTTCGCAGGGGACCTCCATTGTGGGGTTCCCCACCTCCGGCTTCCTCTCGGGCCTTCTTACAGCCAGGCTGAAGCGAGACGGAAAAGCACGGAGCCTCAAGCAGGCCGCGCCCACAAACCGGACTCCCCACCTTTATAGTCACCGAGCCCCGCCCACATCCCTCCTCCTCCCCCACCCCGAAAAGGATTCGGCCACACCCGAGCCTGGCTCACCCCGCGGTCCTCGGCGCCCAGCCCTGGATTCCGCCGCCCCAGGATTGCTTTTGATGGAGGCCGCAGCGCGCATGCGCGGGGGCGGAGCCTCGTCTGCCTGCTACCCAGGTCTCAGAGGGCCCAGGGAGGCCCAGCAGTCAAGCACGCCCTCCGGGGACGGATGCCCAGTGCCTCAGGTCTGCAGATGTGACTCCGGAAATGTCTGGTGTTAGTTAAGCTAATCCGAGCCTATTCCCTTCTGGCTCTAAACCTCAAACTAGAAAGCCGTTACGTGCCGCACGGCTTGCCTTTTTTCATTGGGCTCTTGTCTGCGCGATCCGCTCCCAGGCTCCGCCCACGGCGGTTCCTGGACGTCGGTTTCTGACCTGAGTGCGCAGGCGCGCGGCGCATGCGCCCTGCAGCGGTTTGCAGAGCGGCTGCATGGGTCCCGCGTGGGCGTGGCCATGGCCACAGGTATGACAACCGGCAGGTTTATGTTTTCATGCTTGACTGTTCCCTGAGTGCGTGCCATCCTTTCAGTGGGACACAGGGAAAAGAGAAAGTTGGGTGATTAAGCCCGACACTCAGGCGGAGGATGCGACTTGCGTCCCCACTGAGAAGGGCCTGAGACACTGATCCGTGAACCTGCCCCGAGGTCCTCATTTCTGGGACGGTATTGATAACGCCCGCCTTCTGGTTCTTGTTCTCCATGGGGACCGTGTGTGGAGGGTCACCATGAAACTGAGTGTTGAGATTTGTATCATCCGAATTTGGCCATTAAATGGCCTCGGGACTGTGCTGCTGTGGCACTTAGGCAAATCAAATGAAGGAAAAAAAAAGAGTGAAGCAGGATAGACGACGTGAGAATTCTTGGCGTTTTCAGTGGCTGGGATTTTTAGAGTGTAAAAATCAGAAAACTGAAATGCATTTTACTGTATCCCAAATTGCACTTGCACTATTTTCTTCTGGGAACGAGCTTTTGTTTTTGTTTCCCCCTCTCTGTTCCCGTTACTGGAATTGGTGAGGCTCCAGAAAGGAGGTCTCCCAAAGGGAGGAGGCCTCCACTTTGCCCTTTGTACAGAATTCTGAGGTGGTCGCAAGGAAGAATTTTAGGACACATCAAGGTAGAGAAAGGTAGAGACCAAGAAAGTTTATTACTAAAGCAAAGAAAGGAGAGTACACACCCCAGACATGGCTGCGTGCCCATCTGATAACAGATATCAGGAGTGCTATAACAGCAGGGTATTTATGGTGAAAAAGTGGTTTGGGGAGTTTAGCTTAAATTCGCTTTAGGATGAGGGTTCCCTTTTGTTCTGGACACCTGTACACTTAATCATTGTCAGTTGAGCCCAGAGATATCAAGGCTGGCTTGTTAATTAAATTTGATTCATTATGATGTAAATGTCTGAGCATATTTGTGTGTGTGTGTCTGTGTGTCTGTGTGTAACTGGGGTTTGAACTCAGGGCTTCACACTTGCAAAGCAGGGCTCTACCTCTTAAGCCACACCTCCAGTCCTCTCAGCATACCTTTAAACAAAGAATGGATTTCACCTTTAAGACAAGTGTCCATCCTTGAGTAAATACTTTTTTTATGATCAAAGGAGTCATTTTACTAAATGCCCTCCCCCACCCCACCCCCACAAGGATAAGTGCCTTTCTTTACAATGTCCTTGGTCAGTTCCCAGAGTGTGGTAATCATTTGGACTGGTTGGCAAGGTCATAGAGAAAGAGTTGCTTTTTTACAATATGTTGCAGTTTAGTGTGAAACTTAAAGCAAAGAAAGTAGTACCTGTGCTGTTTTGATCAGCTATTTATTAATATGATACTTATCTCTACATCCTAACTCCTGTTTCCCATGCTTCATTTTCCCTGCTCTATCCTACATGAAATCTTGAACATATTCAATAATTTCTTCAAGCATTCTTACATAGGAAAAGTTTCCTTGAACATTTTTAGTTCAAATATCAGTCTTAGTAGTAAAAAGTACCTTGACAAATAAAAATATTGTTGGCAGAGTGGCTCAAGCATAAGAGTGCTTGCCTAGCAAGCATGAAACCCTGAGTTCAAACCCCAGTGCCACCAAAAAATAAATAAATAAAAATGTTTAGTATACTAATCAATACTTCACTTAAAGCAAGAGAAAAGAAAGATTCTTCCACTTTTCTCTTTCTGCTTCTTCACCTCCAAGTACCAAATATGTTTACCTCTCAACTATTGGTTGTTGACATAATGTAGTTATATAAATTATTTTTATTCAAAGCCATGTACATTTATTAAGTTTTTATCAAGAATACAATTGATTTTCTTTGTACTTCTTACTACTTTTTAACTTTATTAGCATATATTAGTTGTATGGAGGGGCTTCATTGTGACATTATGTATGTGCTTACAATGTATCAGAATTAGATTCATCCCCCTCCATCTTTCTCCCTCATACTCCCTGTCCCCCTTAGAATAATTTCTACAGGTTGCCTGTTATACTTTTTAGAAGTACTTCAACAGGTGTGCTAAATGTTCATGGATGACTGTTTTCAGTTATTCAAGCATCCAATTAGTCTATCTGTGGTTCCAATTGGGCTGTACAGATGTCCTGAAACTTACCTTCAGTGTTTTCTGAAATTCAGCTAATAATTACTTAAGTTCCTTTTCCAATAGGTTCCTTAAGATGCATGTGTTAAACATAAGTTTTAAGTTCTTTTATGTCTGAAAATGTTCTTATTCTACCCTCAAACTTTGCCTAGATTCAATTTTTGACATCATCACCTCATGGTTTTCCAGGAGTTTGTGCTAGCAAGGTGAATGTCAGTTCATGGGTCTGTAGGTCCAGGTCCACTAATTTTTCTTTCTCTGTTTACCCCACAGTCTTCTCTACTTCAGATATTTTGTTCTGTTTTCTGGAAGTTTTAGTTAGGGAAAGAACATTTCAAGGTTGGGCATGGTGGCTCATGCCTGTAATCCTAGCCACTCAGGAGGCAGAGATCAGGAAGATCAGTTTTAAGACTGACCCAAGCAATAAAGTTCAAGATACCTCATCTCGACCAATGAGTGGGTATGGTGGTTCATGCCTGCCATCCCAGCTAAGTGGGGGAGCACAGATAGGAGCATGACCATCCAGCCCAGCCATGGCATAAAGTGAGACCCTATCCCAAAATTAACCAATACAAAAATGGCTAATGAAGGGACTCATGTGGTAGAGTGCCTGCCTAGCAAGCACAAAGCCAAGTTGAAACCCCAGTACCAGCAGAAAAGAAGAACACTTCATGAGTTGTACCACTAAATTTGTTTTCTCTCCTATTTTCTCTTTTTACAGAAGGAAATTTGTATGACTGCATATTTTATTTGATCTCATCCAATCATTTCTAAGTTCCACAAGTGCTTCTATGGATTCAGTGGTGAAACTGGGCCTTGAACTCAGGCTTACACTTGCTAGGCAGGCACTGTACCACTCCAGCCACTCTGCCAGCCCTGTTTTGGTGTTAAGTATTTTCAAGATAGGGTCTCTTGAACTATTTGCCTGGTCTGATTTTAAACCATGATCCTCCTCACCTCTGCCTCCTGAGTAGCTAGGACTACAGGTGAGAGCCCCCGGCACCCAGCTATGGACTCAATTTTTACTTCTTCATAGCTTTCTGTTCTTATTTACGGATGTAGACATCCATGGCTCTAGTGTTAGAATACCTGCCTAGCAAGCACAAGCTCTGAGTTCAAACCCTGGTACTGCCAAAAAAAAAAAAGGCTTTTTATCTTTTGTGTTCAAATCAAATTCTTCCTTTAAAAATATTTGAATTTAAAAAAAATAAAAATGTTTGAATTATTCTCTCTCCACTACCATCACTATTTTTTTTTTTTTTGCGGTACTGGGGTTCAAAATCAGGACCTTGAATCATGCCCCATATCCCTTTTTGCTTTAGTTATTTTTTTAAATATGGTCTGGTTTTATGCCTAGGCTGACCTTGTACCATGATTCTCCTATTTAGGCTTCCCACATAAGTAGGATGATAGGTGTGAGCCACCATAGTCAGCTTTTATTGGTTGAGATAGGGTTTCAAGAACTTTTTGTCTAGGCTGGCCTTGGCTGGCCTCCATCCTCCCAATTTCTGCCTCCTGAGTAGCTCAGACTATAGTTATGAGCCACCAGGCCCAGCTTTTATTTTTTTGAGATAGGGTCTCACTATGTAGCCCAGCCTGGCCTTGAAGAACTTGTCAGGAGGATCCTCCTGACTCAGCCTTCCACGTGCTGGGATTACAGGTGTGAGCCACCATGGCATGCTGTTCTCTTCCTTTTATATTGGATACTTTACCTGAAATGTGTGGTAATCCTTATCTCTATTCATGGAGCAAACTTCTCAGCTTCAGAGCTAGTCCTTTCCCTGGAAGACTGCTCAAGATCTGTTCCCGTTCTTTGGTTTCTCCATAGAGAACAGCACCAGTCTCCTTTGCTATTAATGCATGGGACCTGGATGAGGAAAGAGCTCAGAGAGAACTTCTGTCCTCTTCAGTGTGATTTTTCATCTGATCTGCCTTTGTCTTTGTCCTGTCTTTTTTTGTGCTGGTTTACATCTTCACATATCAATCTAGCCAGAGATCAACTCCCCACCACCACTCCCCACTTAGTATATTATATATGTAAGAGAGGAAAGGTAAAGAGTGAGCAACCAGTTTATGTTCAAGCTTTCAACCAAAGCATTCTCCAGTGTTCATATTTTCCTATCATACTGTCAACGTTTGGATGTGTGTGTGTGTGTATTTAGTATGGATGTATTTGTTGTTGTCAGGAGGCACTGGGGTTTGAACTCAGGCCTTCACACTTGCTAGGCAGGCAGACTACCACTTGAGCATGCCTGTAGCCCCATATTTGTCTATATATTTTAATGCTCCACACGAGAGTACTTGTATTCATCTTTCATGACATTGATATTATTGAAAAATACTGACCAGTTACCTTGTAAAATATCCTTCAATTTGTGTTTGTCTAATGTTTCCTTACAATTGGATTCACACGTTCTGGGTGCTTTGCAAGTATATGAGGTACACAGTGTGTTTTCCTTTTTAGGACATCACATTAGGAAGTGGCTAATGTAGGCGCTGCTGTCCAGGCCTACCTCCTGTACGATGACCGAGTTCTCCTTTATAGTTATTGTTTTGTGGGAAAATATCTTGAAACCATATAAATGTCCTGTTCCTCATCAAACTTTTCCCCACTAGCTTGGGCACTTACT